TCCGATCTCCCCAAAACCCCAAAACCCCAAAACCACAAAGATTAGATTGGAAAAAGAAAAAGATTATATTTTTTTTGAAGTATAATAAAAATAAATAGGAAAAAGAGACTTATTGATTTAAAACAACTATGAGAAGAGGAAGACAATCCTTTATCAACAGGTTCATGGGTGAGGATGACCATGATATCGCTGCTGATTCGGTAAATAACAATGATGCTAATTAAAGTCCTTAATAAGAATACTCCCAGATGCTCTCCCAATCGTAAATTAGAGCTAATCATTCTTTTATTTCTCACAATCCATACAATCATAATCTGAGTTAAAGTAATAATAGTGGTGATCAAAGATCATCAAGTGATAATACAAATGGATAGACTTCAGATAATTTAACAAATATATTTGTAAGGGATAATACCTATACGCAGGGAATGCTTAGGTAAGGTTCATTCGGAAATACAGGCTAGAATAATGTGAATTCTGCTGCTGATAATAGTCCACTCCTGCAATTATAATAATAGAATAATAATTTCTTGAACTCAATCGGTCAAAATAACAACAACATAAACAACCCCAGTAATCTCCCAAGTCCCATGCTAACCAATTAATTAAATCAAAGATCATATGGGAGGGTCAGTACCTCAGAATTCTCTAGTGAAGCTAGCAGAATGAGTGATGGCTACAAAGAATACTGGTCAGAGGATAGCAGTGGAGGCGGTGATGGATGATCAGTTGGCAGTGCTAATATAGTTGTGGACCTTGAAAGAAATTAATACGATAACCGTAACTCAAACATTAGGTAATAAAGACGCTTATAATAAGCTTCAGATAGAAATTTTGTTGAAAGCTTAGTAGATGACATTCTTGCCAGAAATCATCAATTCAATTAACTTCAAGCAGCTTACAACATTGCCAATCATTCAATCAATTAAAGTCGTAGCTCTACTGATGAAATCTTTGGGAATTTCCATCCAAATAATTTGAGGGATACATTTGACTTGATTGAAAGGTAAAGAGAGGCAGCAGTAGCTCTTGATTAGGCGAATGAAAATAACTCAGTTTCATCATAGGGAACAGCTAGAAATTTAAGAGCCTATCAACCTCTAAATCCAGGAAGATTATATGAGTATTAGTCCTCACACACAGACAGAGATCATGATGATGGAGATGATGAAGATGAGTATTACTATGAGGAGGATAGACATCATGATGAAATGAGTGATGGAGTTACTTTTAATCGATTTGAACAAGAGCCTGATTATATAGGTTAAATTAATGAGGAGGATATGGAAAACGAATCAGATGGTAATTCTAATAATAATGGTGGAAACAACTAATCTCCCTTGCAACTATTTAGATCAAGAGTAGCTGCAGCCTAAAACCAAATTTCTGCGAATTAATACAATGCTATTGAAGAGGGTGATAATTAGGATGAAGAGGAAAATGAAAATTCTGCGTGAAGCAGCAATTATAGGATTGAGGAAGATGAGGATGAAGACATTGAAGACGATTATGAAGAATACAAAAGTGAAGAAACGGAGTTGGAGCGTTACTTAAGAGATGTGAATGGCTAGGCCAGAGCTAGAACTGCTCCTCTTAAGCCTCAAATGCATGTAGAGTAGCTCAAAATGACGCCAGGATTCTCTAAACTGGAATAGGCTGCAGTTTGCGCAGTCTAATTAGTCCAAAGAAGCGACTTAAAATTTGACCTTGATTCTTATGAAGGTTAAAATTCATGTAAAAAATTCCTGAATCACATTGAGTAACTTTGTGAGAGCGTCGAAGTTAAATGCAGCAACAGGTCTTATCGAAAAAAATTTAGTAACGCTTACAAAGTCCTTTATAAAGAGGGCAAGCTTTGCTACCTCACAGAAATTCTTGATTCTGCGCAGGAAGGTAAGAATTTAAATTAATAATTTCTAATTAGCTTTCCCGTACCTATGGGTGAATGGAGAAAAGTATGTATTCTCGAAAGAGGTTATTGATGCAGGAAGAAATTTATTCAACAATTTTTGTAAAATTTTATATCATGTCAAAGATAGCTATCAAAGGTATATTTTATGAGTTTAAAACAATTTAGAATATGCGAGGAACAGTCCTACGAATCTTTAGTTGACATTATAAATGAAGTTAGAGAATCACTGGAAGAATTTGATGTGAATTGGGTTACATACGAGTAGCTATATGTAATTGAGCTAATGCTAATTGAGTCTGATGCCCGAAGATTCATAACTGAAGCCATAGAAATCGAAAAGGAAATCACTAGTGCCGAGGTTAGAGAGAGAGCTAAAGGGAAAATCATGGTAGACTGCCCTGACTATCAGAAGAACAGAGGAAAACTGGTTGAGATAATTAATAAAATAAATGCTGTCGCTAATCCAGAGGGTAAAGGCAGGGATGACCTATAATCTGAGATTCTATTCTAGGCTGAAGGTATTTGTAGAAGAGTTTCTTCTAGTTAGTCTAAGGCCGTCAGAAAATTAGCAGAGGCTATTAGGAAATCCTTTATGGGTATTAGGCAGCTGCTAAGGAAATATGAGGAGAATATAGAAGGAGTAGATCCGTAACTGAAAAATAATGCTGACTTGGTGGCAGCACTAGTAGAATTTGAGCAATCTTGGGAAAAAGGTAAAACCTACTTTGTGGACAATCAGAAATGTTCGTAACTTATACACTTCACCAGCATGATTGAAGGAACTGCTGAGAAATACAAAAGTTTCCAAGAATAAATAGAAGACAGAGATACTGTAATATTCGTTACAATTCCTGCTCTGCTAATCTTGAAGAATTTGGATGAGGACGACAAGGGTATATGCAAAATGTTCTTTCCTCCGATGTTTTCCGATGACAGTCCATCACCCTCTAAAGATAAAGATAAAGAGCCACCAGAAGAAGCTAAAGAAGCTTAGAGGCATAGCGTTGGCGGGACTACCACTCATTAGAAATATCAAATACTTAAAAATGACTATGTGAAATTGAGGGTTAAATCTAAAAACACCTACGATTTCTACAATATAGTTGAGAAGGCCGTTCTAGAAATGGAAGGGGAAGAGTCCAATCGAATAAATGAAGACTAACTCAAAGAAAACGGGATGTGCAGAGATGATCTGCAAAAAATAGTCTAATAAATTAGAATTCTCTCAATGTAGTTATAGAGGCATAAGCCAGCAGACTGGAACGAGTTTCTTGATGTTGCTCTCGATAATTGAAAATTATGTGTAAGGATTAAAAAGTCATGTAATTTATTTATACTAAAAATTTGCTCTCGTTAATTAATAACTCACGGGGTTTTGGGGTTTTGGGGTTTTGGGG